TGCCAACACAAAGCCTTTTAGCCAAAATGCCATGGCTTTAGCACTGTCATGGGGCAACAAACTAGCAGCAAAATGGCTAAGGGAGGCAAGGGCTAGGGGCTCAAGGATCTTTGTTTAAAAAAGGATCACTGTGAAGTGCTGCAAGACTGTGTTGCACCCAGAATCCACAAGTGGAAAGTGCTAGGCACCACGGCAGTGCAACCTACTCCAGCTTCACTTGGCAGCTCAGGCTCAGACGCAAATAGAAATGGACAGTAGAGCTGGACTAGGATGAGAGGGAGCAGGGGCAGTGAGAGAGGATACAACGCTCAAACGTCTTTGGACTCTTCCAGACAGAAAAGCTGCCCTCGCTGGAATGCTAAAGGTTTTTTAAAATTCAATTATCTGGAGGGCCCGTTTGATATTTTTTAAAATCCAGGCCTTACCTTTGTGTTATGTAAAAAGGATCTGACAAACAGATATATAATGTCAACAAATTTAATTCAAAAAGAATAAACTCTCGTTAGGTACATGAGAGGCACTCCTGGAACAGGATGAAAACGGATCTGCCAATTACTATTCTTTACTCTTCAAGCTGATTCCCCCAAAGACTTCTATTTAGCAAATACTTTTAAGAGACTGTGTATAGCAAAGGAATCAAAGAGCAACTTATTTTTATTTCATTGTTCAGACTGGCTGCCATCCCACTTAGATAGAAGGGAGGTTTTCCTAGGTCGTCACGGCTAGTGCTTGCATGTCTTCAAAGCACTTGTAACTGCTTCTCACTCTTTCCACACCACTGGTAGGAAACGTTCACATCACCATTTTGCAGGCGGAGAAACCAAAGGCCAGGAAAGATGAAGGCATAGCCCAAACACCAAATTTTCTTGCCTCTGTCATCCACTTCTGCTCCTGATTCTTTTTACTGGGGATCGAACTCAGGCCCTTGTACTTGAAGGCAGGTGGCAGAACCACTGAGCCAAATCCCCGGCCCTCCTGATTTTTGACCTGTTGGGTATTCTGAACACCCCTCTCCCCACCTCTCACCTTGAAGTTTGCAGCCTGCAATGACAGAACACTACACAGTAAACCAAATCTGAAGCCTACAATCCCTTCCCAGTTTGGTCCTTAGACAAGACAATCCTTTCCCAAGATATTCATAAAATGCCCTTGAGCTGGGCATGGTGGTGCACGCCTGTAATCCCAGCACTCAGGAGGCTGAGGCAAGAGGATCCCTGAATTCAAGACCAGACTGGACTATACAGTGAGTTCCAGAGCAGTCTGAACTACATAATGAGACCCTGTCTCAAAAAAAAAACAACCCATAAAATGCCCTCAGCCAGACCTGTGGGGGAGCCTGTTGTCACTCAGCCAAGATTGCTCGCTCCTTCCATTCCCCAGGATCACAGTGATACATGCGACTACTGTAGGAAATGTAAGCTCTTCCTGCAACAAGATTAAAGCAGCATGTATTTATTGAGTACTTAATTGCCTCCATGGACTATGCTAACACTTCACATATGTTACCTTATCCTTGGGACAACCCAGCAAAAATTCTTTTTTTTTTTTTTTTTTTTTTTCCAGGGATCT